CACACAGGAGGAATAAGGGGGGGGGGGGGGACACAGAGGAGCAATGGGAGGGGCGGGGGGCACAGAATAGGAAATGGGGGGGCGGGGGCACAGAAGAGGAACGGGGGGGGGCGGGGGGCACAGAAGAGGAACGGGGGGGGCGGGGGGCACAGAGGAGGAACGAGGGGGCGGGGGGGCACAGAAAGAGGAATGGAGGGGAGCGGAAGGCACAGAGGAGGAAATGGGGGAGGGAGGAAATGGGGGGGGCACGGGGGGGGTAGTGCAGAGGAGGGAGGAAAGCTGCCAAAAAAAAATGAAGAAAATGTAACATGGAAACTGGAAAATATAACCCCCCCCCCCCCCCCCCCCCCCCATGTATTATGTGTAGTTTTATAGAAAGGGGGCGGAGTCATCTGTGAAGCAGAAAATGGAGCGCCGCAACCAAACATCCATCCATCCATCCCTCCATCCATCCATCCATCCATGTCTCCATCCATCCATCCATCCATGTCTCCATCCATCCATGTCTCCATCCATCCATCCATGTCTCCATCCCTGTCTCCATCCATCCATCCTTGTCTCCATCCATCCATCCATGTCTCCATCCATCCATGTCTCCATCCATCCATCCATCCATCCATGTCTCCATCCATCCATGTCTCCATCCATCCATCCATTTCTCCATCCATCCATCCACCCATCCATCCATCTTTCCATCCATGTCTCCATCCATCCATTTCTCCATCCATCCATCCACCCATCCATCCATCTTTCCATCCATGTCTCCATCCATTCATGTCTCCATCCATCCATCCATCCATGTCTCCATCCATCCATGTCTCCATCCATCCATCCGCCCATCCATCCATCCATCCGTGTCTGCATCTCTCCCATCCATCCATCCATCCCTCCATCCATCCCTCCATCCATCCATCCATCCATGTCTCTATCTATCCATCCATCCATCCATGTATAAATCACCCAGCGCTTTGTGAATGGAGCGTGGCCTCCTGGAACCTGCGTCGTTTCCCGGGAGGTTGCAGGTCGGGTTTTGGTCGCCATCTTTTCTTCCAACCAAAACTGAACACTTTTCCGGCTGCATTTTTTTTTAGTATACAAAGCAAATGGAAAACAAAATGTAATAAAATGGACATTAAACCTCCATCACGTCTCTGACAGCAAATCACAAAGTATTCGGTCAGCATGAGAATCTACTGCAGGTGAGAGAGGAAGGTGTGTGCTGCTGTCATTAGGGCTCAATGGGTCCACTGCACACCTGCAAAGGGGCCCCCCATTACATCAAGTGTCCCCATCGGAGCCCCCCCTTACAGCAAGTGCCCCCATCAGAGCCCCCCTTACAGCAAGTGCCCCCATCGGAGCCCCCCCTTACATCAGGTGCCCCCACCAGAGCCCCCCATTACATCAGGTGTCCCCACCAGAGCCCCGCTTACATCAGGTGCCCCCACCAGAGCCCCCCTTACATCAAGTGTCCCCATCAGAGCCCCCCCTTACATCAGGTGCCCCCACCAGAGCCCCCCTTTACATCAGGGTCCCCATCAGAGTCCCCCCTTACATCAGGGTCCCCACCAGAGTCCCCCCTTACATCAGGTGCCCCCACCAGAGCCCCCCAATATCATCAAGTGTCCCCATCAGAGTCCCCCCTTACATCAGGTTCCCCATCAGAGTCCCCCTTACATCAGGTGTCCCCACCAGAGCCCCCTTTTACATCAGGTGTCCCCCATCAGAGCCCCCCTTACATCAGTGTCCCCATCAGAGTCCCCCCTTACATCAGGGTCCCCTTCAGAGCCCCCCCCTTACATCAGGTGTCCCCACCAGAGCCCCCCTTACATCAGGTGTCCCCACCAGAGCCCCCTTACATCAGGGTCCCCATCAGAGTCCCCCCTTACATCAGGGCCCTTACCAGAGCCCCCCTTACATCGGGTTTCCCCACCAGAGCCCCCCCTTTACATCAGGAGCCCCCACCAGAGCCCCCCCCCTTACATCAGGTGTCCCCACCAGAGCCCCCCTTGCTTCAGGTGTCCCCACCAGAGCCCCCCCTTACTTCAGGTGTCCCCACCAGAGCCCCCCTTACTTCAGGTGTCTCCACCAGAGTCCCCTTTTACATCAGGTGTCCCCACCAGAGCCCCCCCCCTTACTTCAGGTGTCCCCACCAGAACCCCCCTTTACATCAGGTGTCCCCATCAGAACCCCCCTTTTACATCAGGTGTCCCCAGCAGAGCCTCCCTTACATCAAGTGTCCCCACCAGAGTCCCCCTTACATCAGGTGTCCCCACCAGAGCCCCCCTTTGCATCAGGTGTCCCCATCAGAGCCCCCCTTTTACATCAGGTGTCCCCACCAGAGCCCCTCCTTTCATCAGGTGTCCCCACCAGAGTCCCCCCTTACATCAGGTGTCCCCACCAGAGCCTCCCCCTTATATCAGGTGTCCTCACGTGTCCCACTTACATCTGCTGTCCCTATCAGAGTCCCCCCTTACATCAGGTTCCCCACCAGAGCCCCCCCTTACAGCAAGTGTCCCCACCAAGCCCCCCCCCTTACATCAGGTGTCCCCATCAGTGCCCCCAATTACATCAGGTGCCCCACTAGAGCCCCCCCTTACATCAGGTGTTCCCATCAGAGTCCCCCTTGTCACGGATCCACGATCGCCGCCACCAACAGGCGACAATCGCACGACCCGCGACTAACAGTAATACGTCACGCCCACGGTGTCAGACCCCAGACCTTCTCACCAAACTCGTGACCAAAGGACCGGCCGATCTAAAACCGCGGTGTGACGCGCGTAACAAGGCCACACCCAGCTGCACCCTGCACAGCGATTGCCCAGCTAATGGACTACAATCGGTGCCTGCAGCCTAAATGCGCTTGTTACTGGGTCGGGTTAATTACACAACTAACCCTCTACTGCCACCACCACTTTTGTCGGAGACGGGGAAACTCCTGTTATCAAATATACACTCTAATGATTGAAATATTGATCTATATAGCACGGCCCGCGGACCTACTATACAGAGATATAACAAACAGTAGCGTCTCTTCAAAGGCAGGGATTCGTGAATTGCAAGTAAGCGCTTAGAAACAGTTTAACACTTTCAGAAAGAAAGATTTATTACTAAAAGGGTCAAAACAGGTGCAATACAATATTTACAAAGAGATGTCACAAAAATATATATATATGTATATAAAGACACAGCAAAGAGATAATTAGGAAGAAGATTACAGGGTTAAGTTACTTGCCCTTAGCCTGGGTTTGCAGATCCAAGTTGTGAGCAGGGTGAGTTCTTGATCTCCTTTTGTTACGATGTTGCTGGGAGATCTCTGTGTGTGTAGCTCTAACTCACTTGTCTCTTCTTAAAAGTCCCTCTCAAAGGGGAGGGGGGCTCTTACTACACGTTTTGGGAGTGGTCAGCGGGAAACTGAATTAACTATAGCTTCATAATACATGACATGAAACATACGGTTGACCTGAGGAATGTTGTCAGGAATGGACTGGCCAGCAATGGTGGGGACTCACCTGCCTTTTGATCTGCAGTACCAGGGCTGGCCAGCGGATGCTCCCAGCAATCAGAGACTCAACTTTGCAGCCAGCTAACACCTGGAACTGATTATGCTGGGGTATTTAAGGGATGGCCAGACCCACAGACTCTGCCTTGGTGTTGTGTTTGTCCTGGGCCCTGCATCCTGTTTCTGAACCGCTGCTGACTTCTCCTGCTCTGATCCCGGCTCGCTCCTGACCATACCCCTCTGCCTGACCCTCTGTACCACGCTGCTTGCTACCTGTTCTGATCCCTGGCTTGTGACCCTGACCATCCCTCTGCCTGACCCTCTGTACTACGCTGCTTGCTACCTGCTGAACCTGGCCTGTGACCCCGACCATTCTCCGCTTGCTCCCCCTGTACCTACCTGCCCTATTGATATTGACCCGGCCTGCCTGACGACGCTTGCTTGTATGTACTGTTATCTGTGGGGTGGTTGGTTTGGTTTGTTTGCACTGTATTATGTTTTAGTATTGCACTGCGTTTATGTTTGTATTGTTAGTGTTAATAAATTATATTGTTTATAACATATCTGAGGTCTGCGTTTCCCTGCGTCAGCCACACACCTCTGGTCACACCCCGGAGCCCTGACATTACACCAAGGCCAATCCTGACCAGAAGTGGCTGCACAGGGAAGCCATCTTGGCTTGTTGATGGGAAGGATGGATCTTGATGAGGTTGAGTATTTATCTCTGCTAGTGTTTGATGACAGGGAGTATGCTTATCAAACTCTGAAGGAGTATACCCGGGATGAACTGCTAGAATGTATACGGATCGCTCATGTTCTAGTAGATCAGGGCACAGAGTTCTCTGAGGTGCAGCCATTGATTGAGGTTTGTGCTGAGTTGGTTTCATCTGGTTCCCCCGAATGCAGGGATGAATTTTTGCCACCATTTAGTGCCGACCAGGTTGAGTCCCTGGTGTGGTTATTAGAGGATGATGTGGGTTACTTTCTGGAGCGTTATTCCACATGTTCACCACAGACACTAAGAGATTGTATATAAACGCAGTGCAGTCATTGGTCAACAGGCTTTGTGTAAGCTCAGCTTTATGTTCAACCCATACTGCAGACATGGACAGACTTGTTGCACCCAGCCTCAGTCAGCTTACAAAGACCCAGTCCCTGCTTCTAACTCTACTCCTGTATTCCCACCACAGCTCCTCCAGTTACAGCCCAGTATACTTGGCTATCTACCGCATGTCAGTCCCCTGTTCCCACTCGCTGCACCTATCCTGCCTTTAACCCTGTAAAAAAGCCCTCTGTAGCAACTGCTCCCTCTCCTGTTCCATTCCTCCAGATTTCTCTTCTCTGTCTCCAGCTGCTCCATTCCGTTTGCAGACCTGCGTTTACTTGCAGTGCCTCCAGTAGTTAAAACCAGAAAAAGCGAAAATTCTTTCCAAACCAATACCATCCTGCCAGTATCCAAACCGGTGAGCCTTGCCTTCCGTGGTTCAGGACTGATGCCTCTACTCGGGGCCTGAAGCCTCTACTCGCCTGAAGCCTCTACGCGGCCTGAAGCCTCTCCTCGGCCTGAAGCCTCTCCTCGGCCTGATGAACTGATCCAGCCCGATGATCCTATTAGGCCAGTTGACCCGATGCCCGCTGTTGATCCAGATGATCCGGTACCTGACCCAGTGCCCAGCTGTTGTGTGCCAATTGACTCAGAGCCCGCTGTCATACCCTGGTGACCCGATGCCCGCTGTCGAGCCAGACAATCCGATACCTGATGATCCCGGTGCCCACACTGTCGTGGCCTGTTGACTCGGAGCCCCACTGTCTTGCCAGAAAACGACTCGGTGCCCGCTGTTCCGCCAGTCGACTCGGTGCCCGCAGTCTTGCCAGACGACTCGGTGCCCGCAGTCTTGCCAGACGACTCAGTGCCCGCAGTCTTGCCAGACGGACTCGGTGCCCGCAGTTCTTGCCAGACGACTCGGGGCCCGCTGTTCCGCCAGTTGACTCGATGCCCGCCCGCAGTCTTGCCAGACGACTCGTGCCCCGCAGTTCCGCCAGTTGACTCGATGCCCCGCTGTTCCGCCAGTTGACTAGGTGCCCCCGCAGTCTAGCCAGACGACTCGGTGCCCACTGTCGTGCCTGGTGACTCGGTGCCCGCCGCTTCGTCTGGGGGCCGCCGAGACCTGTTGGGGTGCTACCGCCGCCTTGATGGCCCGAGACCTGTCGCTCCATCTGGGGGGCTGGGGTCCGGCGCCCGCCGCTGTCCGCCTGAGGGCCCGAGACCTGCGCTCCATCTGGGGTCCGGCGCCCGCCGCTCCGCCTGAGGGCCGAGACCTGTAGCCCCCACCCGCCCTGGGGGTCCGGCGCCGCCCGCCGCGCTCCGCCTGAGGGCCCGAGACCTGTAGCCCCGCCTGGGGGTCCGGCGCCCGGCCGCTCTCGCCTGGGGGCCCGATGCCTGTCGCCCGCACCGCCTGGGGGCCCGATGCCTGTCGCCCCGCCTGGGGGGCCCGAGGCCTGTCTCCCCGCTCTGGGGGTCCGATGCTGTCGCCCCCGCGCCTGGGTGGCCCTAGGCTGTCGCTCCATCTGGGGGTCCGGCGCCCGCCGCTCCGCCTGAGGGCCCTGAGACCTGTCGTCCATCTCCATCAGGGGGTCCGGCGCCCGCCGCTCCGCCTGAGGGCCCGAGACCTGTCGCCTGACCATCTGGGGGTCCGGGCGCCCGCATCTCCGCCTGAGGGCCCGAGACCTGTCGCTTCCATCTGGGAGTCCGGCGCCCGCCTCTCCCGCCTGAGGGCCCGAGACCTGTCGCTCCATCTGGGGGTCCCGGCGCCCGCCGCTCTGCCTGAGGGCCCGAGACCTGTAGTTCCGCCTGGGGGTCCAGCGCCCGCCGCTCCGCCTGGGGGCCCGAGGGCCCGTCGCCCCGCCCGGGGGCCCGAGGCCAGCGTCGCCCCGCCCGGGGGCCCGAGGCCCGTCGCCGCTCGCCCGCCCGGGGGCCCGAGGCCCGTCGCCCCGCCCGGGGGTCCCGAGCCCGTCGCCCCGCCCGGGGGGTCCGGTGCCCGTCGCTCCCCGCCCGGGGGTCCGGTGCCTGCCCACGGGCCGCCCGGGGTCCGGTGCCCTGCCGCCCCGCCCGGGGGGCCTCGGTGCCTGCCGCTCACGCCCCGGGGGCCCGGTGCCTGCCGTTCCGCCTGGTGGCCCACTGCCTGCTGCTTACTCCTGGGTAGCCCGATGTGCCTCTGCCCGGGAGTCCAGCCCGATGTGCCTCTGCCCGGAGTCCAGCCCGATGTGCCTCTGCCCCGGCCAGTCCCAGACCCGATGTGCCTCTGCCCGGAGTCCAGCCCGATCGTGCCTCTGCCCACTGGTGAGTCCAGCCCGATGTGCCTCGTGCCCGGAGTCCAGCCCGATGTGCCTCTGCCCCGGAGTCCAGCCCGATGTGCCTCTGCCCCCGGAGTCCAGCCCGATGTGCCTCTTGCCCGGAGTCCAGCCCATGTGCCTCTAAACCCGGTGGTGCCTCTGCCCGGAGTCCCAGCCCGGTGTGCCTCTGCCCGGTGTGCCTCTGCCCGGTGTGCCTCTGTCCCGGAGTCCAGCCCATGTGCCTCTTCCCCGTTTTCGTGTACCGCTGCCCGGAGTCCTGCCGGTGTGCCAGTCTTTGATATCCCGCCAGTTACCAGACCCGGGCGGGTGGAAACATTTTTCCCAGCTAGGACTGTTTGGAGCGTCCTGAGGCCGCTCCTTGAGGGGGGGGGGGTACTGTCAGGAATGGACTGGCCAGCAATGGTGGGACTCACCTGCCTTTTGATCTGCAGTACCAGGGCTGGCCAGCGGATGCTCCCAGCAATCAGAGACTCAACTTTTTGCAGCCAGCTAACACCTGGAACTGATTATGCTGGGGTATTTAAGGGATGGCCAGACCCAACAGACTCTGCCTTGGTGTTGTGTTTGTCCTGGGCCCTGTATCCTGTTTCTGTCCTGCATCCCTGTTTCTGAACCGCTGCTGACTTCTCCTGCTCTGATCCCGCCCCGGCTCGCTCCTGACCAGGCCCCCTCTGCCTGACCCCTCTGTACCCACGACTGCTTGCGTACCTGTTCTGATCCCTGGGCTTGTGACCCTGACCAATCCCCTCTGCCTGACCCTCTGTACTACGCTGCTTGCTACCTGCTGAACCTGGCCTGTGACCCGACCAATCTCCGCTTGCTCCCCCTGTACCTACCTGCCCTATTGATATTGACCCCGGCCTGCCTGACGACGCTTGCTTGTATGGTACTGTTACTGTGGGTGGTATTGGTTTTTTGGTTGCACTGTTATTTATGTTTTAGTTTTTTTTGTTTATTTTTGGTTAGTGTTAATAAATTATATTGTTTTAACATATCTGAGGTTTGCGTTTCCCTGCGTCAGCCAACACACCTCTGGTTTTTTTTTATTATTTTTGACAAATGTGTTTTTTTGCTCCAGTTTGATTTTATGTGTGGGAGCTTACGCTTTTTTTTGGGTTTTGCTTTGTTTTTGTTTCTTTGCTTTAATGCGGGCCTTATCAGACGTAGGTGAGATTTGACAGTTCCCCCAGACTGCTGGTGCCAACTCAAGATGGTCTTAAACCTGGTTACCCCCACCATTATTCAGGAGATAACGTTTGCCTCGCAGGACTGAAAATTTTTGTGAGGAGTGAGCGAGGAATACTCAAATAACAGAACGGAACAAGAAAAAAAGGTTAAAGGAAAAACTCCGCTCCAACTCTGAAGAGCATTTTGCTACTCAACCATCTTTTTTATTTTGTTACTTTTAGATCAGGACACTTTTTTTCATTTTCAAAAGTAAGGTATTTGTATACTTTTTTCATCTTCCATCATGTGATAGTCAGATGCCTTTCCCTAATATTTTGAGCCTGAGCTTAGTTTTAGTATCATCATGCTCTGTAATCTGGCCCCCCGCAGGCTGGAGGGAAGAGAACGTCAATCGTTCTCCCCCATTTGTGATTTCAGACTGTCTTCCCTCCCCTGCAGAGTAGCACTGGGCCTGAGCTTTTTTCTTAGTAATTTAATTTATTTTTATGTGCTTCTGTATCGCCCCCTGCAGGCTGGAGGGAAGATTAACATCCAATCGTCTCCCATATTGTGTGATTTTTTCTTTTTTCTTCCCTTTTTGTATTTTGTTGGGCCCTGATATTTTTTTTTTATTTATCTTCCATAGTTTTTTTATTTTTTTTTTAGGCTGTTTTTTTTAATAGAACGTTTATTTTTCTCTCCGTCATTTTTTTCAGTTTTGAGTATTTTTTTTTTTTTATTTTTTTTTTATTTAGTTTTTTTATTTAGTTTTCAGTCATGGTTTTTCGCCTTTTACATTTGGATGGGAGGAGAACATTTAATTATTCTCTCCAGCTTTTTTTTAGCCACAGACCCGGTTTTTGAATTTTACTTATGTTTTTCTTTTTTTTATTACATGATTTTTTTTTTTTAATTTAATTTTTCAAAACACCGGACTTGTCCAGTTGAATTTTTTTCTTGTTTATTATATTTTAATTTTTTTTTTTTAGTTTTTTTTTTTTTTTTTTTATAGTCTTTTTTTCCCCAAAAGAAATTTTTGGCAATTTAAAAGTTGTATTTTCAGAAGCAGAGACCATTTTTATTATTTTTTTTTTTTTTTATTTTTTTTTTTTTGTGCAGCTTTTTATTTTTAGTTTATTTTCAGGAAAAATTTTTATTTTACTTTATTTTTTTTTTTTGCAATAAATTTTATATACTTTTTTTTCCATAAAATTTTTTTGTTGCATCGAGTTTTTGATACCCGAACATGGCCAAGTTTTAAAACTGCGGTTTTATTTTTTTTTTTATTTTTTTATTTAAACAATATTTATTTTTTGGATTACGACTTTTTTCCCCCTTTTTTTTTTTTTTTTTGCTCATTCCATTTCCTTATATTTTTTTCCCTCATTTTTATTATTTTTTTTATTTTTTATTTATTTTTTAAGTTTTTTTCGTGTTTTTTGCGCTTGTATGTTTTTTTATTTTTTTCTTTGTTTTGTTTATCTTTTTAGCCAATTTATTCTTTTTTCTCCTGCATTTTTTTTTTTTTTTATTTCTCGCTTCCTCAATGGGCTATGAGGATGCAAACGGACCGCCTTCCATCTTCTTTATTATTTATCCGATTACAGAATTTTTTATTTTTTTTTGCGGATCAGAACGGATTTCAGCGGGTGTTTTTTTATTATTTTTTTTTTTACATCCTCCGTCTTATAGAGGACAATGGAGGTTTTTTTCGGGTTTTATTTAATTTTATTTTTTTTTTTTTTTTTTTTTTCTTTTTGTTTTTTCAATTTGAAAGGGTTTATTTTTTTTTTATATATTATTTTTTTTTTTTTTTTTTTTTTATTTTTCACACTCAATGTTCTTTAGTTTTTTTTTTTTTTTTTTTCTTTTTTTGTTTTTCTTCTTATTTTCTCTTTTTTTTTTAAGGATTTTAATAAAAGAACCTTTTTTTTTTATTTTTCCTTCTTTTTTTTTTTTTTTTTTATTTCCGACGTTCTTCAGTTTGGCTCTAGTATTGTTCATTTTGTTACAATTTTATTTTTTTATCCGCATTTTTCCTTTTGTTTTATATTTTTAGTATATTTTTTTTTTTTTTGTCACAGGTTTTTTTTTTTTACGTAATTCTTTTCATAATATTTTTTTAAGAATTTTTTTATTATTTTTTTTTTCTTTTTCTTTTTGACTTACTTTTTTTTTATCCACATGTTTTTTTTTATGTTATAAATGTTTCCCCTGGAAGGTTCCATCACCTAGTTACTTCCTTTTTTTCCTTTTTTTTCTATTTTCATTTTATTTTTCTTTTTTTACAACAATTTCTCTAAAAGATTTCTTAGGATTTATTTCCAGTTTCATATATTTATGTTTTATTTCTTGTTTTTTATTTTTTTTTTTTTTCACACTCACATCTCTTTCTGGTTTGTTTTGTCTTCTTTCTATTTTTGTTTTTCCTCTTCTCTTTTTTTATATTTAAAGTTTATTGTGACGGAAGCGAAGGCAGGACAGAACACACAAAGAAGATGGTAAACGCACAAAGCTTTATTTTGAACTCAGTCAGGGTAGGAAGGTAGCGTCCGGGTACCCAAAAAAGGGGGAAGAGAGGGGAGAGCCCAAAATAATTGTAATATGTTTCTCCATGATAGGCTCAATTAGGTAGCGATGGCCCGAGCACTCAGCAGGGCGGCAGTCCAAGGTAGCTATGGTACTCCTGACACGACGTAACAGGCTTGGCTGTGGGGTCTGACCTCAGCTCAGACCTCACACAGCTTCCAGGGACAAAACGGTCAGCAGACAGGGTTCAGCTATTCCAGGGACACACGGGGACTTTTTTTTTTTTTTTAACACTAGCAGGCTCACGGGGACTCATCTTTCCAGGGACAACAGCAAGGTCACGGGGACTCAGCGGGGGGTCTTGGCTGTGAGGTCTGACCTCAGCTCGGACCTCACACAGCTTTCCAGGGACAAGCGGTCAGCTGACGAGGGTTCAGCACTCT